TCTTTAAACTCGGTCGTGGGGCAAGATGGCGGCCGATTTTCCGTATTTTGACTGGGCATAGAAAATTAAAGATTTGAGCAAATTAAAAAATTTTTGCACAGAAATACTCCAAAAAATAAGCTTATTTCGTTAAGCAAAAAAAACTTTGGGTTTAGGTGCACTTTAAGTCAAGTAAACGTAAAGTCACGAATTTTTGCCGAATTGCACAAACAATTGGAAAAAAGGATCTATTTGGGAATGATTTTCAATCAAAGGTGAATAATTAGGTAATAGATCATTTAAAAAAATTGAAATTTTATGCATTAAGGACACTTTAATGGATTTAGATCATTGTTTCCTGATGTTCAGCAGTACTAGTGTAAAGCTAAAATGACCTTGTCAAACGCGGAACAACCAGATCGAGCTCGAATCAAATCTAGGTGACAAATATTGAACTATTTTCTCTCAATTAATTAAAGAATAACCAACCCTGAAATTTTGGTAATTGACATTTTCCACCCAGGAAACGGTGGCTTCGTGCACAAAATTTCTCCTGGTGGAGTTCCAGTGATTGGTAGTAATCTGTACGTGAACTTCTTTGTCTGGGTAGAATGAAAATGGCTGAAAAGTCACCAACTCGCAAGCTGTCTCAGCCCAGGAAACATCTCTCTTCAACTCAATTCTTCCTTTTTGAACTGGAAAACCTAAAGAAAGATTGAAATAGTTTCAACCTTCAGTCTCGTGCTGTGAAGGGTGTTCATTTTCTTTTACTTAAGTTTGCGTTATTACGCTAGTATCTGATGGCGCCATTTTCAAAACACATTTTCATCCTGTCAGTGCTAACGATATAACTCTGTAATATATCTTCATCTGTCTCGAAAATCCCTTGGAGCTATGATTGGTGGCACAAGCACATAACCTATCCTTATGACCTGAGCCGGAGTGAAAGCCTCAAACTTGGACAAATGTTTTGTATAGATATTTCAGGTGCCAGTTAATGTACATTTTTAAAGTGGCGTATCCTCGTGTTTCAATCTTTTCATGGATTAGGCAGTGACATTCATGATTTGCTAACCCTAACCCTAGCCCATGAAACGCTCTTGTTTCTAAAGACGCGAAAACATGCAAATAATCGCTAAGAGAAAATATCTCCTCTTCTTACCCATACAACTTCCAGGATGATACACAGTGTGGTTGCTCTTCAGTCGACATACATCAAGCTCAAACATGCACTTGTTTTTGAAAGTAGTCGAGCTCGATGAACACACTTGTTCTTCATATGAAGGGCAGTTTTCTTCGCACACGCAACGGGCGTCAAATGTGTCGAATGCCTTGCAGACAGCATAGTAATCGCACGTAACGTTGATGCACGGGTCAAGGTCTTTGGAATAGTATCAAATATAACCAGCAAGTGAGCAGTGCTTATAGTGTCTCAAGGTAAGGGTGGGGTCTAAATGAGAGAGTGCTGCTTTTGATTGGCTGAATTTTTCTTGCTTTCCGTAACATTGAACCACTAATTTTACTGTATAAGTCCCCTCGACAAGTTGGGATAACTTTTTCTTAAATTGCCCTCGCGATATTGTATCTTAAAGAAACGCACTCAATTCTTCTTGAAGTTAAAAAGAAAAAAAAAATACTCTCAACAAACAAACAAGCAAACAAGTTTGAAGACCTTCGGTCCTCCTGTTTTAATTGACTTGTCGTCAGTATATCAAGATTCACTTATTTTCTGCATGGTCTTAAAAGAATCCCTAAATACAGTAACGGGGGACACCCATTAACGAAGATTGATCTGAATTATATGTACAGATAAATGCATAACTGACAAACTTAAGGTGAAAAAAAAAGCGAAAATCAAGGGTGTTTTCAGAGCTGTAGCGTTGCTAAGGTATTCTCACATGTCTGAAAATAAAATGAACAAAACTTGCTGAGAAAACATTTAGATTCAACAATTGATGTTTACAGTTAAGGAAACCACCGTAAGCCACTTTTCAACTCCTGTTGGGTGAGTGACATCTTAGTTAAGGTAGCTTAAGGAAAGTACTTCAAGCAAACTCATGATCTGGAATTATAAGTAATTTCTGACAGGCCTTGCTACTGGTAGAAAGACATGGATAAAACAATTTTAACTTTCTGTGTATTGCCCACCTCCAATGATTGCATAATGTACGGTTATTGGGTCATGACTCTTGCTTAGTCCTCGGCTGTCCTTAACGCAAACCTTAAACGCCGACCGACTGACTTCCTGCAAAACCAAATAGAAAAACAATTGGTCAAGGAACAAAACAGGTCATTATTTCAAATTTAAAGTAATGTCCGCCCCATCCCAGCTACAACTTAAGTCTGAATTACTAACTTGAAAGGTTATTCTCAAGGTCTTATGAATAAATTGAGGCGCGAACCGTGATATCCGTTTTAATCAATTCCTTAGTCTTCATTGTATGCCACTGCAGCCCCCGGTTGTTTTAAAAAAATACGTGCTTTTTATTTTGCAACGACAACATTATAAAAATAAGGACAATAGAGCAACTAAAAGCGCAAAAATAAACCCAAAACAGAATAAAGAAACAAACCAAATAACGGATGAGAAGGTATTATTAAAAAATTAGCTCATGCGAATGTGTTACCTCTATCCAAACGTTTATAGCGTTGTTACAGGGACCTTCTGAGTTGCCCCACAATGCACTTGTGGTGTTTTTGTGACTTCCGGATATCAAGACTGTAGGCGGCTCATAAAATGGGTTTTCAAACTTAAAATCCTGTTTTGGTACGCAAAATACAAGACCAAAAACTTTCAGCCATAGACCTGTTCATTGAAAATAAGTATGTAAATAGATCTCTGACCTTAGTGTATTTGAAATGTTCAAACTAAACTATTCATATCGACTTGGCTCCGATCAACAACAGTGAACAAAAAAAAAATCAAAAACAAAAACTCAAAACGAACAAATCATACTGACAACTTTCAACCTGACAAAACGCGAAATAATTTTTTCTCAATGGTGCCCCATTTCCAGCGAAATGAATCTTCCCTTCTTCAGTGAAGTTCCAGTTGGATGGTAGCACGTCATATGCAAACCAATGCTGGTGAAACCAAAATAATATGTCAATTTTTAGAGAAGAAAAAAAAAATACCGCGAATAGCTTCAATCTATACCTGGAAGACATGATTAAGCTGATGTGAAACTAGGGAATATAGGTTCCCAAACACGAAAAAACAATGCGACCAGTGAAGGAAAGAAATAACTAATCAACACAATTTGCGCCTCACGATGGGCCTTGGGCATTACTGGGGATTCCGTCGCATAGGAAGATCATTTCATTCTGAGTGAAAGACTGCCCATTTATCGCAAAACTTTAAAATCAGCGTACCACTTTGAGGTCCGAATGAATGCCATCAAAGGACATGAGCTCTCTCATACAGACGTAAAACTCCTTCTTGCTGACGCCTTCCAGCCAAAGATTCATGGAGTCATACGGTCTGTCTGTGTGCTTATGCTGAACAGAAATAAACACTTGAGGCTTGTTCTTAAAACCCTGTAATTAAATGAGAGGAATATTAATTAGAAATTAAGAAACAAAAATTTAAGCTTTAAAATTCTTGTTTTCCGTCGCTGGTCCAAAAAGGTGAATCTCTATGAGGAATATCAGATTGAGTTTTCCTTTTGGAGTCCGCAATTCCCAAACCGCATAAGAATATTCTAGACAGCTATGTTTAAGTATTAAATCAATTATACACCACACACGTTACGATGAAACTTACATTACTTTGGTTATCAAAGATCGATACTCGTTTGCACTGTGTTCTTGTAGTCCATTCATCAAAGTCCACGATGCCAGACTTGATTCCTTGATGAGACCCTTGGAATGAGAGCCAGTTAATGACAGACATGCCTGCAGAACCACTTCCTGCCTCACGAACGCAAGCCTTAAATCCTGACGTAGAGATCGATTTTACCCATAGTGCTGCTGGGTCTTGGATTTTGATATGTTTGTTGCCATGGCTAAGAGTAACAAAGACTTTAATATCACCTGAGCCCTGGAACTGTGTTTTGAAGGAGACGGACTGGCAACCATGACTATTTTGGGAGGTATCAGTAATGTTGACCTTTCCAGCTTGGAAGACATCTGCTTAAAGGAATTTCAGAAATTGTTTTCAATATTAATTGCGAACGTAAGAATTCAGAAATGCTAAAATCTAAGAGAAGTTGGCTCTTAGGCGAATTATAGCCTTAAGCAAATTGATCTTCACACGCATAGACTCATTAAGACTGAAAAGGTGGATTTACGGGTGACTTTGAGGCCTCGAGATGAAAGATTGCGTAACTCTTAACCGTAAAATGAACAATCGAGGCATAAAGAATAAAGCTATTAAAATTCTTCGCCTCGACTTTTCTGTAGCCGAGGAGTTAAAATCGACGAAATTTGCACAGGTGTGTTCTTCTCCAGAGGCACTTCACGCCCACTGGGCGTTGTTCCAGATTTGTAACTTTGCCGAGTCTTTTGTCATTAATCTACCTTGTAAACCAGCTCGAAATTTTGAAAATTAGATGAGAGTTGGATAAAAGAAAGACAAAGAAAAATGTTACTTTACTCTTTTATATACTCAACACCTTAACCCGTCAAATTAAACTTCGCTCCGACGAAGGGCTAACGCTCGAAGCGTCAGCTTTTGTGATCATTACGGTGGCCAATTTACCATTTCAACTTTGTTGATATATCCAAATTATTTCGTTACTCCAACCGACACAGCCCCAAACAGTTTCTTTAGAGACTATCAGCCTTTATTTATTTGTAAATTAAACAAAAGCACAGTCAACAAACTAAGCAATGAGACTGAAGTTTACCTAAATGATGTAGAAATATCAAATCAAACCAGCTACAGAATTAACGATACACTTACCGCTTGAAAGACACAGCTGGCAAGAAATCACAAGGAAAGCAAACAGCCCGAAAAACTTCTTTAAGGTCATTCCGTGGCAGCACGTATGAGTTGCAACCTCGCAGACAGCTCCTCTGATCCCAAGCTTTCAGAACGGAATGCAAACAGAAACAGTCGGAACATGCTTAAATGATGCTGTCAGTTACCTGATATATCTGCTAGAAACGAGGCTAAACGTAAATTGCTCAAAGCTGCTTTTTTGAGGAATTACCGAAAATTAATTTATAAGGTTGGATAAACGACGCAATGGTCACCTTCTCACCCTTTTTGTGGACGCGATTTTTTTTCTTACGGAGATCAGAGATATTTCAATATTAGTTACATTTTTGTCCTTTCCTCCATTTTTGTTTTTGCTTAGTTTTGTTTCTCTCTTGCATAAGAACGCTGACACTTTCTAATTGCGTGAGGTGTGCTGTGCTTGTTGGATTAACAAAAAACTGAATTCTTGGAAAAGGGTTATAAACCCTGCGACTATAGGGCGCGATTGTTGTCTGCAATTTCTCGGAACTATGCCATTAGAAAAAGGATTATTGTGGAACATGTTAAGACCGATGGCGCAAAACTTCAGACGGGACCTCAAGGTAGAAGGGTAACCATAATAGGCCGTATTGAGAACTGCTTGCTTCTTGCTGCATAGCATTGTGATGAAAGAACAATAAAAATATGTCTTTATGGGCCTGTTTTTCTTCTCTAAGGGAGATTCTAGAATGATTTTAAGTCATTTGTTGGCTTCTGTTTCTGTTGTTTTTCTGTTGTTGTTTTTTGTTTTTTTTTGTTTTTTTTTGCTTAGTTATGTTTCTCTTTCGTATTACTGCGCTGATTCTTTCTAATTGTATAACATGTGCTGCGCTTTTTGGATTATCCTTTTCTAAGGTAACTCCAAAAAAGGGTTATTTGCCATGCTTTTATAAAGTGCGATTGTTGTTTGTAACTTCTCGAAATCGTGCCATCAGAAACAGGATTATCACAAATCATGCTAAGACTGGCGACACAACGCTGCTGAAGGGAGCTCGAGGTAAAATAGTAACCAAAATGGGCCGTATTAAAAACTGCTTGTTTTATTGCTGCAAAATTCTAAAAGACCAACAAAATCCTTCTTTTGTGGACATGTTTTTCTTCTTTAACGAAGAGCGTTGAGTTTTTAAAATGTTCTTAGCCACTATGCCTGTTTTTTTTTTTATTTTTGGTCTCATCTCACATTAGGACGATGGTACTTTGATGGGATAATGCGTAGCGTGCGCCATACTTGTTTTGATTATCCTGTCTTCAGAATAATTCCCAGTTCTGAGAAAAAGGGCTTGTTATGTGCCACGCGGTTGACTAAGGAGCGCAATTGTTGTCTGTAACATGAGCTCCCATAAAAACTCGAGCTCCTATCAGCAGTCATGCGTGGCCAGTCTTAACATGTTCTTCAATAATCCTGTTTCTGATGGCATAATTTCAAAATTTACAGGCAGCAACTGCGCTCTATAACTGCGTGACAAATAACACTTTTTCACGAATTCGAGATTATTCTGAGTACAAGATAATCCAACAAAACGTTGCACGCTATGCAATTAAAAGCATTGGGCAGGTCTACTAATGTGACAGAAATACAAAGGTGAGAAAAAACAAAACAGGGAAAAAATAAAGGTATTATCTAACAGATGACTTAAAATCCTTCTTCGACTTCCTTACGAGAAGAAGTACATGTCCACAAAGTAATATATTAGCGGGTCTTTCAGTCTTTCACCACATTGCCATCATAAGTAACTCCGAATTATTGGAATAGGGTTATTTTCTACGCATGAATAAAGGCTGATAGTTTCTAAAGAAACTGTTTGGGGCAGCGTCGGTGGGGGTAACGAAATAATTTGAATATATCAACAAATTTGAAATGGTAAATTGGCCACCGTTGCGATTATA